CAACAGTTAATTTGACCAGAAGCCGTTCACTTAACAACAAGATATTGTCTTAAAAGCTAGAACAGGAGCAGCCTGAGCTCTCCCGGTCCGACAAGTCTACCATTATCAACCTACCCCATTGTATATGAGGTATTTGCGAGGTATCACTCTGAAACAGGTTTTAAAGTTACACAGAGAGTAAATATGGGATAACAGAATTACATTTATTCCAACAAAATTAGTGGGAAAAAAAGATTTGTTTGTTTGTATCTTTAGCTTTCATTCATTTTCGGCCTGTTCCGACTGTTGCTCATCGTGGTGTGCGTGCATATGTGCACGAGTGCACTGGTGGGCGCGTGCGTGCAAGCGCGCGCGCGCGTGCGTGCGTGCGTGTGCTTGCACGTGCGCGATCGTGTCGTTGATGAGAAGTTGGTCGCTTCAAAAGTCAATCTTTGGCCAAAAAAGTGTGTGTGTGTGTGTGTGTGTGTGTGTGTGTGTGTGTGTGTGTGTGTGTGTGTGCACGCGCGTGCGCGATCAAGGGTATGATGTGGCTCTTTGCAGTAACACAGTAAAAAAATTGGCTCTTCGTGTCTGACTGGTTGGCCACCCCTGTCCGGATGACCCAAGAAAAGAAAGCGAATCAGGTGGCTCCGAGCAAGAAGCTAATGTAGCAGACTACATGATCACTCCAAATGTATGGTCACACGTTCTTCATCACAGCCAGGTGTCAAACACAAAGCCCAGGGGCCAGATCCAGCCCGCCATGTCATTTTATGTGATCCGCAATTGCAAATCATGTGCCTCAATGTAATTTTTCTTGTGCATCCATATCAATTATGAAGCATACATTTCTATGGGTTGATACTTGACAGTCATAACGGCTCTCGAAGGTAAACCAGAACTACAATGTTGCCTGTGACAAAAATAAGTTTGACACCCCTGATCGAAATCAAAATCCTTGATTAATGAAACAAACAAAAAATGCCTAATGGCAACATGTCCTGTGGGAACAAAAACTGGAAAGAGGTGCCAATATAAAACCAGTCATGTTACGCATCTGAACTAACACTTCTCCTCAGTTAACAACATGGCATTACAACAGTCCCGATGTCCTGGATGTTTTCATTTTATTTGTTTCAATGTACAGCCTGCAAGTGTTTTTTCACACACATTTACTTAAAAACAACACAAGCATGTTATGCTTTTTTTTCTCATTTGAGTTGGTGTAGTTGAGTAAATGCATGATTGTGTCTCCTTTCCCCCGAAGATCGCGCCTGGGTTGCCAGATCTGTCTGAGCAGGTCTCTTGAGGGCATGGTGGCCCGTGTTCCGGAGAGCGTAGCAGACATCCGACAAAGCCAAGATGGCTCCTCTCAGTGACTTTTTGTTGGTGACGATCACTGTCGCCAGATGGGCTGCCTAAACCACCATTTCTAGTCTGCACTGGACTTAAAACGAACGTAACCGTGTGGCACATCTAAGGACTGGTCAGATGAATCCGGCAAACAGAATGTGACCGACAAAGCCCACACAGCAAGTATATTTTTATTGTAATTCTATCGTGTGTCATCATCTTCACAGTTTGATATCTGATATGTAACCATAGAATTTTATCATGTGATTGTACATAGCTAGAATGCATCTGTGCATAGAGAAAGCAGATAATAATAAAGGTAACCTTTCTAAATAGCATGGTCAAGTGCATTTTCTACAGTGGGGGAAGGGTCCACGAGAGCATTTGGAAGGCTCTCCTAAGTCCATTTTGTGAGTCGACTTTCAGGACCCCCAGATTTGTGTTTGCTTGAATTCTTAGTTGTGATATTCAATCTGGGACGGAAGAGGTTGGTGGGCAGTGGTGTGACCCGACCCGCACTACTAGAAAGTAACTGATGGTATCAGTATTTAATTTTTTTTTTGTTTTGTTTTTTTTTGTTTTGTTTTTTTTCCAGCAACGTCCCCTCACTTTCCTTTACAGCCTTTCGAACAATGAAATTGCTTTTTAACTTATCACATTTTTCTGAACACAAATGATGATCAAAAACTCAAAACAGCAGATGAGATGACAAAAGTGTGAAAGTTATTTATGGTGGAATGTCCACTAGGTGACGTATTCTCGCTTTTACTTTATGGAAGACCTAATTTTTTCTGTCGACATATACTACTTATATTCAAACAATTAACTTTTCATGACATCTCAATGGCCATTACTACCAGCGCTTTTTTTTTCCTTTCCGAAGATAGCTGTATGTTAACTCGAACGATATTATAAAATTGGTCGACGGTGGTGCTCAAGCTCCTAGAGCTTTTAACCTGCCAAAGATGCTGTTGCTAATATTCATCACTGGTGGGTGTATTTGTATGTGCGCTGGAGGAAGAGTTCTTCTCCAAACTCTCCTGTTGAGTTAAGGACAGTCTGCGGCCTTTCCTCAGCCAAGAGTTGGGGTGGAGGCTCCTGCAGCTTTTCAAATTACCCCATTGAAGATGCTCTCTGGCTGGACACGCTTTGCGACTTGTCTCTGGCGGCTCATGTCTGTCGAAAGCCAGAGCGTAGCTGGTGGCGATGGATGTGGAAGGAGTGCATGCTTTGGTCTGCGTTGGTGCAGGGGAGGAGGGGTTCGAAGACAGGCTGGAGGAGCTGGTTTCCTTGACCGCCAGGGACCTTCTGTACCTCTGCTGAAGGCTCAACTTTGAAGCGCGCTCGCCTTTGTCGTCGTCATCATCCTCATCATCCTCTTCCTCCTCCTCACCAGTGAGACCATCTGTGCTCTCGTAGAAGCGCAGCTGTATCTTTGCTACGTGCATCAATGCCGGCTCGGAGCACCGGCGCTCTCTGTGTATGCTGTGCAGAGAGGAGGTGTCCACAGTGGGGGTATCGTGGATCTGCCTGCTTCCCCTCAACACCTGCCAGTTAGCGTGCTGAACATCTGGCTCATTGTCCTGCTCGTAATCGCTAAAGGTGAGGACTGAGTCCAGACTGCCTGGTTTGGATCGGAGACGTCTGCCGCAAAAGCTTGGTGAGCCACCGCTACTGGTATCCAATTCATTCTCGAGACTGTCATAGGATGAGTCTGTCAAAGGGTACGTCCACTTGTCTGAGGGCCAGGGAAATGTGACAAGACCGTGTGAGTGACCATTAATATAGACACCAAATGTTTTCCATGTAAAGGCTTTCCGGATACAAGATCACAAGTACCATAGAGTCCCATCTCCTGCGTGCTGCGTCTCAGCGGTGAACCTCCAAACAGAAAGGAGGGCTCCTCTTCCATAATTTGCTGGCAGTGTTCTATCATGAATTTCACCAAGTCACAAACCTGCAGCAAAGCACACAGACACGTCATTGACTTTTGAAGAAACTTTCTTACTTACGCGATGCATTTAAAACAGATCACGTTAAGATGCTTCATACCTGTACTACCACTCAAGTTTCATGCTTGCTTAATTTAGTTAATAGCTGCTTTAGTGGTTTAAGTTGGTGTAAAAGTCACTAGCGCAACAATTGTCATTCTAGCTAGTCATCTTTTGTTTTCAGAATAGGTCACAAAGTCAACTACTTTTACAGTCACTTCACCTCTGTTTTTATTCATACTCTTTAACTATTGTACTAATTAAAGCGGTTTCTTAAGTATTTCTTCCTCAGTGTATTTAGGATACCATTTGAGTTTTGACAAATTGAGTGAGTCATTCGCTTCTCTCACTGTATGATACTACAGTTCAGAGGGTTGGATATAACGGATCGATGGATATAAACGGCTTCCTATTCGTGATATTCCTGAAGACGCGGTGGAAGAGCAATATTGGGATGGCTGCCATCTAGTGGTAAAAGGCACCATCACAAATAACGGGCTGTAAATGAAAAATGATGAATAATTTTCGAAATACCGATAAAGCTGGTTTATAAAAGCACTCTGACTAAAATTGCATAGTTTGAAGATTTACAGTCAGTGTTCAAGGAAACATTTTAGAACAGGAGTTGTAAAGAGTAAAAGCCGGTGGTTGTTTCTGTCACAGTATGATAAAGTTGCACGTGTTAGTGATGTGGTGAGCGGTCAAGGTGGCAGTGTTAGCAAATGTGACTTGGCTGTGGATTTTGCCAGCTCGGCGCTTGCTGACTTTCTTCCCACAGCCGCTCACTTACCTTCCTGGTTCCTTCGTTCTCTGCCTCGGGGCTGCACAGTGCTCCCGGAGGCCAAAGCATGCTGGGAGCGATGCACACCGCCAGGTTGAATCCGGTCATCTGGTTCTCGCGGGCGTTGCTTCGGATAGCGTGCAGCACGGCCAGCACGTAGCGGAGCAACAGGGCGTTGTCTTTGGGTAGCCGAGTCATCATCCTACAGGACGACAACCAACTATTTCTACTTGCCGCTGCAATGCTTCACTTTGCTTGTTGGGAAAAGAGAATCGGAAAGAGGCTTATACTGCTCAACACATATAACTATGGGGAGGGTTTTGTCTCAAAAGTATTCGCACAAATATTATGGTGATTTTCATGTTTTTTAAGATCCATAAATGTGTGGGCGAGAAGAAGAATGCGTAAAGGAAAACAAATTACGGTCGTATTTTGTTTCCAAACAAGTGTTGAATAAACCCATTAAAAGACATGATAAAGACTTGTTTTCCGTTTTACAAATTCCAATTAAAAAAAAACACACACAGGCGAAAGCTCGTTCCCGTTCTATGGCGACAGCAACCTTGACATCTAGCGGACGGAGGAGGGATAGCCTTTCCACGCGTGAATGTTTACGGTTGTGTGAAGATGAAGAAATACGCTTGAAACTGCCTGACCCTTGTCTCAAAAATAAATGCTCTTGCCCGCTGATCCACAAACGCACATTCACTTCACAAGCAAAATTGCTTGTAAGAATTTACAAATAAGCCATTATAATTGCTCACACAACAAAGAAAAAAAAAACATAAAAATCGCACATGGATTTGTAGAGCTGCAAAATACTTGAACATCGCAAATACATTTGTGGACCCGAAAAACCAATGTGAAACTCACGGCTGTATTTGTGTGAATAATTTTGAGAAAAATCTCTCCCACATGTACAGTATACCCCAACTGATTAATTGGAAACCCTTCCGGTTCACTAGTTTCTATGGAATACTACGCTACAAAATCATCCCACAAATGCATGTTACAAATAGAGAGATGGATGGGATGAATGTGGATTAGTGGGTTTGTGTAAACAACAAATAACATAATTGGTCCCGTGAGGAAAATGAAATGAAATTTGTTCATCTGTAGATGGAAAAAAAAAAGTCAAGTAATTTGCTCAATGTTGCTAAATTTCAAATTTTGGAAATTCAATTCACTGATGTTGAGCACTGTACACGCGTGACTTCAAAAGACAACCGTACCGGTGTACGTTCTCCATGTACAGATGCATCTGGAGGTTTCTGCACTTCTAATTTATTCTCCACTCTTTTAACAACAGACTGCTACGACAGGGATGATGGACTGAATGAGGTTGATCAGTGGTTTATCACACCGTTGTATCTCTTGCACCCGTTCCTCCTCCCCCTCTTCGTCGGTCAGCGCATCCATCCATTCTTCATGCAGCTCACAACACAAGAGGCTGCCGGGGATGTTGCGCAGGAAGTCCTAGTAAACATTGAGTAGCTATTTAGTGGCCAAAAGTAAGGAAAAGATGGTGTTAAGATTATAAGGAGAAGGAGGTCAAATTGACATTTTGAGCCGAGATTGGGTCAAAATAGTGCAAAGACTTGGAGCGCTTGTCCGTTAGCAATAACAAGGATTATCTTGCAGATTAAGGACCCTATGAACACGTTGTCCTGCTAATGTGGATGTGCCGGAGGAGATTAAAGGCCAGGTGAGAGATGTGGGTCATCATGACAGCCTACTTTGAAGACGCCGGCGACGATGAAGATGTGGTCCCGCGTGAGCGGAGGAAGGAACTCGCCGGCATCCAGTGAATCTCGCAGCTCCCTGACGGCCCGAGCGCCCGCCGGCCGCCGAAAGATGCCCCGCGTCCACGGGCCCTCGTGATACAAGAGCGCCAGCATGTCCTGCCGAGGGGAGAGCGGCCGTGAGCTGGTGTAATGGCAAAATCTGTGTGAACTGCGATTGCAAAGGGGTGGATTTTTTTTCTGGTAAATGTCCAGAAACGTCATGGTCAAATGAAGCTGGGAACTTTCCGAGGGAACGATCTGAGAATCGAGGCTCATTTAATGGAAAGGTGTCATATTCATGCATAAATATCAACCTTTGATTTTGTCATGAGCAGACATTCACGCAAAATAGCAGGCTGGCCTTGCCCCTTGTCACTTCAACCCGAGTGTGAACACCCACCATCACGGCTTTTGGCAGAGCATTTTCGACACACACGGCACTGAGGGGGCGCCCGAACAAGCAGCCCTGAGAAGCGGTGCCTGTGGATGACGCCAACTGAGGGGAGGAACCTCGCAGAAAGGCCCAAGTGATGAGGGAGCGCCTCCTTTTTAATGGCTTCAGAGGGAACTCTGACAGGGACAGAAGAGAGGGTTCGACCACAGTGGCGGCGCATCAATACGGGGCATGAGGTGAACAGACACATTGTGCAAAAAGGCTGCTACTACTACTACTACTAGTAAAAAGATATCAGCTCACCTGTCGCCACATGCGGTTGAAGCGTTTCCTGTGGGCGGGCTTTCAGAATGAACTGGCAGCGTTTGTGCACCTGAAGCTGCTCCGCCTGGATGGCCCAGTCACGGCCCTCCGGCGTCGCGGCGCTGTGGGCCAACGTTTGTCGCACGTGACTCATGTGGATACTGAAGGGGTACTCGTGACCTGAGACAGAGGAGAACCGGGAGCCGCTAGTTTTTCATCTTTTTAAAGTGGAAATAATGACACAGTGGGCCTTAGACGTTCAAGATTCGCTTAACCGACTGTCCAATCCAGAGTCACGGCTACAAATAAGCATTTTGTGAGAATGTCATACCTACTTTGTGGCCACAACTAAGCACTTGGTGTGCACGTCATATCTAAATATCGTGGCATGTCATCGCAGACATGCTTGCAGATGCATAGAGGACTACACCTAATTGTGAAGAAGAAAAACTGGTGGATGACCACGGAACCGTTTTGTGACCCTGGAAAAATGGAAGACACTTCCTCTCGGTCCTGCTTGCCCAGTACAATTTGGAAAGGCTGACGGACCACAAAGAAAAAAAAATTACAACAAATAGGAGGTTGAACAGCGAACAAATTGTGTTATGTTGTTTTTGCATTTCTTCGGCTAACAAACAAACTGTTGGGAACTTTCAAGCACATTTAACATCCATTTATCAGTTTCGAGGTTCAATAAACAGCAAAGAGAAGCCCTGCATCAAGTTAAACTAAGCAATGGAGATGAACCAAAGACAATGACTAACCAATGAGCGGATAGGGCGTATTGTCCCTCTTGGAGAGGACCCACAGCTGGTAGTCCTTCACGTTACCCTGAACACAAGAACAAAGTCACACAGCCACAAAGACTGTATGTGTTTTTTGGTTTTCCAATAATAGAGGAATCTTGACCAAAGTACGCAGAGCATTCCTTGCATCTCTGAAGATCGGCGACTCGCGATGTGACTCACAATGATGCTAAACTGCTGCAGAGCCAGTCGGATCACCTCACTGGTGGAATCTGAGTTGCTGACGGGCAAAGTCTTGGTCTAAACGGTGGGACAGGATGACATGCACTTGTCACGAGTGGGAAGCAAGGAAAAAGATGGCAAATGTCAGGACGGAATTTGTTTTTGGACGTCGTCGGCTTACAACGGCGTAAGTGTTGAGCCCCTTGCCGTACACTCTGAGAGGGATGGTTTTCGGTTCTTCCTTCTCTTTTTCCTCTTTAATGCGACTGCGGAGGAAATGAAAGCAAGTTTCGTTGCCTTTTACACGCAAACACACATTAATGCACAGCACTCAAGCCAAACTCACTTCTTCAGGTGAGAGAGCCAGTTTTCTTTTTGTTCCACGGAGCTGGCAGGGATAAGTTAAACAAAATGCGCAGCAGAAATGTGAGCAGTTTTTTTGTTTTTTTTGTTTATTGTGTGTCGGGTGTGTATTGTTCACCTGAATGTTGCAACGGAGTTACAGGTGGGCCACCCGACGACAAAGCTCTTCTCGGGGCAGGTGCTTCCCTCGCACACCTCGTCCATGCAACTTGCTGTCCACGTTTCACATAAACGGGCCTGGGCCTTCTGCTTGAATTGGTTGGCCGACCTGGCGCGACGTGAATGGAACACGAACGTGAACGTCTTTTGCTTTCCGATTCAGGCGCAGGAAGCCGGCGACGCTTACTTGGCTTTGGCGATCACCAGGATGTCCGTGAAGAGGAAGAGGTGTCTGTCCTGAGTCTGCATGCCGGTTTTCAACTGAGTGCGCCCATCGAGGAGAAACAACCTGCCGGGCGCTCTCAGGAAGGACCGCACCAACGAGCACGTCTCCGGGAACACGGGAACCGGGAGGCTCTCTCTGGAAGAGCCCAACACTGTTACTCAGAGTCCATACAAATGTCGTCGGGTCTTAGGTCACCGCAATTAGGGTTGGGCATTGAGTCTGCGGAATCCATTGGAAATGGAGCGATTGTTCCCGGAATAGTTCGCACTTTTAATTTCCAATCCCCCGTTATGGTGCCTCGTCCGCCGACCGGAAGAAGAACTTGCCCAGACCGATGGGGAAGTGCGCACGCGTAATGAACACAAATGTGGCTGGTAGTAGCAGAACTTCCGTTGTGTGGTTGGTCATGAACGGCTCCCGTTTCAAGAAACCTTCCATGGAAAGTGGAACGAAGGGGTGACCAACCTTTTTGAAGACAAGAGCGACTTCTTGGGTACCAATTAATGCGACGGGCTACCTGTTAGATACACACTTCTGAAATAACACACTAAACCTCTCATAACGTTGTTCATATACGTTGTTCACAAAGAATGATATTCATTCATGTGAAGCGACTGATCATGTTCATGATTTCTCACAGTAATGCCATTTTATTTCTGGAAAGCTCTGCCACTGCCTCCATTTTCATATGTTCACTTTCTACAATTTTGCTAGAAAATCACAGAGTCTCTCATCACTGGTGGGTGAGTTAGTTTTGCAACAAGCCCGCGGGCTACTCGCACGTCCAGGTTGCCGGCCGGCCCTTTGGCCTACATTGTATTTGTGCCGCAATAGTTTTCCAAACCTGTGGAAAAGTTCATTTCACAAAACTACCTTTTGATGAAGGACAATAAATCAATGGCCAAAACTCATGTTCAGCAAAACCGAAGAAAGACATAGAGTGCCGAGATCTCAAGTAAACTTGCAGGGCAGCATGCTGAAATTGTAGTTAGCGTGTCTGTGTGGTTCGATTCTTGGCTACGGGCGTCCGATGTGGAGTTTGCATATTTGCCCCGTGCTTGTGTGCCTTTTTATTTCTGTGTACTCCGGCTTCCGTCTTCCCAAAACAGGCCACCGGTTGTGCGTGGCAAGTATTTTACCTGGAAAGTGTCTTGGACCTGGCGAGAGCTTTTCTGAAGACGAGAGAGGGCGCGGACTGACAGCGAAGACTTTGGGACTTCACCCGCTAAAAGAGACACAAATGCAAAGAAAGTGATGCCACAACCATGTCACGGTCAGTTGCACGCACAAATTGGGACTGGTATCAGGTCACTTCCACATTGGCAAACGCCACTTTCAGACCCACTGTGCTGATGAGGGTGACTACACTATACCTGCTGCACCTTTGCTCAACGGAGCTTTGCTGGAAATATGCCACAAATGCTCATGCCTCCCGATGCTGGGTTACTCTTGTCAATCACAATTATGCTCCAGTCAGCCTCTTTTATCCCAGCTCAAGGTTCTCCGACTCTGAATTAATAGGCCACACATTTGGGTCATTGTAATACTTTGTAATACTGTTGATACAGCCGAGTCACGGGGGACAAACATTCCTGATACAGTGCACGGAAATTTGGTGCACAATTTAAAGCTACGCCACATTCGAATCGCTTCCAACATCCAAGTTGTTCACTCGTTTGAAGCACTTGACCACCAAAATCAGGTACTCGTGAGTGACTCGGAGCATCGTAAAAATTGAAATCGAGACAAATGTTTGGACAGAATCCACAGCACTGTTGATGTGCCCTTGATCAAGTGCTGAGCCCCAAGCAACTGTGATGTCACTTTCAATCAACAGCAAGTGACAAAGTGGCCGCCCCCTGAGGTAGATAAAAATGGGTGCACTTTGCTGCTTCAGTCATATTCCACAAACGTGATCTTCATTACAATGCCGTGTTTGGGCTACTGTGGGTTCAGAGAACATAATGTTGGAAGAAGACATTTTTGGGCTGAGTTCTCCTTTAAACTGCACAAAGCTATCGCGAGAACGATGCCCTGATACTCGCCTTTGTCACAGTTCTATGAATTGCACTTGCATGCTGCTTCTCTAGGGTTTTCCAATAACAGCCAATCCTCGCCCAAATGAGCTCGCATTTTAACAAGGAGCGTAAAAATAAACTTCAGTTGAATGTTCAACTTTAGAGTAATGTCAGTTGAACGTTTTTTTTTTCCAGGATGAAAAATGAAATAATGGACTTTAGTGTGTGATGATCTGCTCGAACACAGTCAAGCAAGACATTAAAAAAAAAAATGGAAAGCAGACAAAAATTCAGAGGAACAAGGCAAGAAGGACAACGCGTGGGCGTGTCATGTCACAGGCAGTGCATGTACTGAACATTTGGAGAGTGTTCAAATCTGTCTTGGAGCATTGTTGGAATCTTTATAAATCTTTTACATTTGATTTCATTTTCCAAGTCCATGTGGTTATTCTCATATGAGTTTTGAATTTTTTTTTGGACCACCATCCATTCATTCTTTCATTTTCGATACCACTTGTCTTCATTCAAGTCACAGGATTGGTTGGAACACCCGGACTACTAAATATTAGCAATATTTGGAAGCCAAAATAATTTGGGCATTTAACAAAACATGGTTCATGCTTTTCATTGAACAGCAACAAGACAGATTGTGTACAATATCAACAATAGCTACCCGTCCGTTGTCGCTTTGTCCAGCACTCTGGCTCAGTCTGTCCTGTTGATGTTGTGGAGACATGTTATCCATCCAGCCTCCAGACGTCTGCAGATCAGTGTCCACCTGTATTCACGCTTTCTAATCCCATTAATCAGATCCAGAAGGACAAAAGCATCTCAGTGCGCTGGAATTTTCAAGAAACTTTCAGCCGGTCGATGAAGTAACACAAACACCCACACACACGGATGCAGAGAGATTAATAATACAATTCTGAATAGTCAATGAAAGCACCCTCAGTGAGGGACGCTGCAAGAGCCACAAGACCGCGCGCTTCTTGTCTTTGTGGATTAGCCCCTTCTTAACGCTTCGACACTCATTGCAGAGGCGGCGCCTGAACGCGGGCAAGAAAAAGTTGGCTCTATTTTTAGAAGTTGCTCTCACTTTGTGCAAGCAACACAGAGTATTCCAAACCCTTCACTACTGGCATGTCCCTTTACATCCTGACAGATGAACCCAAGTGATTTAAGGTCAAGAATTGAAAGTAAACACATTGAATTCCACTGTGCTGTCTAACTACGCGCATGGCCAGTGTTGGGAAGTCACAAATATTTCTACAGCAGGCAACTAAAGTCGATTTTTCAGGTAGCTGTACTTTGCTCGAGGATTTATTTTTGATTGGTCGAGATTAGTGAGGAGACAATTAAGCTTCGAATTTGTTTCATGAACCGGTTGTTGTATTTTTTTGACTCTTCTATGTGGCACTCTTTGTTCAACGTTGGACTGAGAGCACGCTGACTTGCTGTTTCTCAAAGCCCTTCATCCAAACCAACAGTTCCATCTCGAGGAGTCCAAAAAATAAAATACAACAAAAGGTTCATGAACTGAATTTGAAGCTTCATTTTCCCATCATTTCTTAAAATGTTGCTACACTATATTCACTGTCAGCCCTCTCAGTTAACATGGATCTTTGTTCTATATCGCTGCCATAGGTGATGAATGAGGTTTTTCTTTTCTATGATCCTGACATGCTTTAGTTTTTTTGTAACAAGGGACAGAGGCATGTGTACAGCTTCCTTTAGGACAATAAATTCCATTTCTGCTCTGTGGTCTTCAGCATATTTTTTATTTTATTTTTTTGCCATCACTGCTTCCTTTGTGTTTCTATGACAGTACACACACACACACACACACACACACACACACACACACACACACACACACACGCACAATAATAATAATAATCCATTGTGGATTTAATCCTTCTGGTCACTGATCTCAAATCTTGTGACATGTTGCCTGCGATATCAAACACGGTCACAATGCAAGGTCCAACTTTTGACACATTTTTGTCAAGGCTTAGAAGCATTTCACTATTAAGGTTCTGCGGCATTTCATCAAAACTTTGAAAGCACTTGAATCCAGTTTATCGATTGTGCGTTTGAAGAAAGAGAAGTGGGCCATAAACTGGGCTAAAGCCAAATGAGGCCATCAAGTGCTCCTTCCCCAGATTGGCCACCATCAGCCCCATTTAAATTGGATCACTACAATGATGACTTTCCCTGATGTTGATAATGAGCAGCCTTGGGCGCGTCAAAGAAAAGCACACAAGTTTAATTCAGTAGTGAGAAAAGTATTGATTTATTCCATATTTCCAACATGTCTGGGTGGAACCCGAACCCCCATTTCCAACCCTGTAATGGTTTGGTGATATTGCATGTGTTACCAACTAACATCAAAACTCGCAGGCGTGCATGCAGCACAAACATTTTTTCGAGCAGGAACTCAACCTTCCCCCCCAGAGGCCACCCCACCCATCGCCAAATGTTTTGGAAATTATTCTTACATATAAATGTGTAAAGTAAGCTCTTATATTTGTGTGTATTTCTCAATGGCCCATTGTTTCATTTTATCTTGTTTCTATGTGTTCACACAAAGTATCTCCCACACGCACCACATTCCTCACACGAGCTCACAGAATTTCACCAGTACTTTTCCATTGTTTGCACTGCGCATGATCCTTTCTTCTTAATAAAAACACTTTGCGGTGGGAAGATCCAGGTGGAACAGGAGATCTTGTGAGCCGAGCACACTGTGACCTCGTGCCCTCCCTGTTCTTCCCTGCTGCAGCAGTCTAAACCTTATTTCCGTGTGCGTGCCTGTTCTTTGCCCAGGTCGGTCGAGTCTTTTAGACTTTAGACCTAACAAAATGGACATTTATTATTATTATTTTTTTTTAATCACAAATTTGTGTCAGGAGAGAGACAGGTACAGAAGTAGATATCTCGTGTGTCCAGAAGATCAGGTGGATAGGTCAGATAGTCTAGACAGAAAGGAAAGTGCCGGTACCTGCAATGTCTTCTGGTAGGAATGGGGAGCAAGAGGCTGGGTGGTGGAAGGTTGAACCACAAAGAGCAGGAAAGGATACAAGGAAAGAGGGTAGCTAAGAGGAAGAGGGACACTGAGAGGACTGAGGAGACCGTGAGGTGTCATCGGGGCCACAGGGTTTGCATACTTGTGCAACAACATGAGCTCAGCTGTTTATTTTGACATACCATTTTGAAAATATATTTCTTGAATCAATTGGGTAAAGCAGGGCAGGTTACAGGTCATAATCATTGAAGGAAAGGTTTTGAAATGACTTATCTTGGTCACATTTCCACCAACTCTAATCATTGGCTACCTTTCTCCTGCATGTTTTAAATGTTTCCCTCCTCCAAGACACCTTTTATTCATCATGATCATTTGATTCACGTGTATTAAAGGAAGGAGACATCCAAGACATGCAGGATGGGGGCCCTCAAGGTCCGGAGTTGGTGACCCTTGGCTGTTATTTATGTATTTGGTCTAATCTTAATGAGTAAGGGTGATTTTATCCGGCACTACCAGTCACCAGGTTGGGCCAGAAAGCTGTAGTTGTAGGATACGTGTATTTTACCACTGTAGCGTAAACTGCAAATATACTGCATACTCACAACTTCGATTTCACCCATAAGTGGCAGCGCAACTCACCCACTATTATGATGACATCTTTCAGTTCATGCACGTGTTCAAAAAAGTGCTCGATCAGTACCGACTGACCTCTACAGATCAAAGGTAAGCAAAACAAGAACACCCAACATTCGCTTAGAGACTTTTTAAATGACTAGTTTGGATTTGAAAATGAAAACCACCTTTCAATTCCCATTTTAATGCATTTTCACGTTTTTTTTTTACATCAAAAAACACATTTTGTAAAAAAAAAAAAAAAAAAGCAACATAGATGTACGGTATCTGAATGAAGCATGAAAAATTGATTTCTAGCATTTTTGCAGTGCGTAACACTGTGCGCATATAAGTTTCATTGTAAAAACATATATGCATGTCCAAAGTCCAAATTTGAATCACAAATCACTGACTGAAACACCGTGGGAAAAATAGGAGCGATCAAGAAGTGGATCAACACACACCCACCTCTCATGTAGTCGGTGGGTAAGGTCACTGTGAAAGCAATTTGAGGTCAATAGCGGGGGCGTTTGCTATTGGGCCCGTCAAACACTCCATCTACAGGACTCCCGCTTCCATACATAGCGGACGGACCACCAGGAGGGCCCTGTGTTGGCGGCTGCTGCGGTTGCTGCTGCTGCTGCTGCTTCGGTGACTCCACCTCCGCTCGTCTTGCCAGCAAGCCACTCAGCGGATATCTGTCGCCTCGCTATGGTATCACAGGATTGGATATATTGGTATGGCAGCATGTGTGTTTGTGAGAAGCAAAAATGCAGTATCCACTAAAGGCCAATCCCGTATTGTTTGTACAATGTGTCAAGAGTCGTTTTGATCCAAGTCATCCACCGAAATCACAGATTGGGGGGGGGTTGACAGAACAGTCGAAGGGAGTCAGAGAGAAAAACTATTTTCAATTATCAATTGATCAATTTCAACGTAGTCTATTTGCCCTTATCAAAATGCTGCTACTTGCGTCGATCCCCCCCCCCCCCATCCCAAAAAAAACCCAAAACAAGCCCACCCAATAAGGACAATCTTCATGTTGGTTGAAGCACGGTCGTGGCCAAGTACGTTACCATGTTGCCATTTTCAGCCATCAGCAGTGGGTTCATGTTTGCAGGTCCCTCCGGGATGGTGGCATTGCCCCTTCCGCCCATGCTCATCATTTGACCCTGGTTAGCGCCGGGCCCAGCAGGGGCCTGGTTTAAGCCATCTATGCACGAAACAAAGCAGCGTCCACCGGTCATCAGCTGACAAGTCATGTTCCTTATGAGACATATTTAGCCGGCAACCATTTGACCAACTCGCACGCTTTATCTGTTACTTGACGACAAACTGGAGCATTCACGTTTCTCTTGTGGAAGTCATCAAAAGATTGCCATTCAATTCACTTCAAAGAAGCAGCAGATGCACCAAAATGCAAAGCTAATCGGCTTTGCATCTGGATGCAAGATTCTTGCTCTGAGACTTGCAAAAGTGAAAGCATTCCAGGTGGGGGTCAGAGTGCTCGTGAGCCGAAGGTAGCCCCAAAGGACTTACATGAGTCGGTAGGCTATGAGCGAGTTCTAAAGACAACCTACCGGGGATTGGATCTCGTGATTTCTTCCTGTATATGAATGTTGCAGAAGTGATTTCAAAATGTAAATTCTTGCAGAAGCTTTAGAAATAGTGTTGCATACTCACATTTATCTGTTTCCGACCTTGTTAAATCATAGCTGATAGTTAATACGAGACTGCTCCTATAGTTTTTGTGAACTAACAAGCGTGACCATGTCAAAGTGTGCTTGAGCGAGATGCTAAACCCCCCAGTTGATGCTGATGTAAATGAGGCAGCAGTGCTAAGCGCTTAGAGCACCAAAAGAAGAAAAGCACGATATAAGTGAAAGTCCATTTCACCTATTCACTGTCACAGAGTTACACTTATGGACAGGTAGCATTCAATGAATTGAACCGAACTGTGCCACAGTTAAATGTCACAAAACTAGGAAGACACATTCTAAACGGACATAACAAATGACTTAAAAAAACAAAA